TGGACCAGATGCTCTGTGCAGCTTTGGAAGCAGTTACATTCTTGTGGTTTGACTAACCTTTTTTATGAGTGTGTTACTAAAGAAACGTGAGCTGTTGGCTTTTCAATTACTGTAGCTTACCCCTTCTGAGTTTCATACACATTGAGTCATCGTGTCTACAGGTGACTGATAATCATCTGCACTGCTCAAGTTACCGTAACTCAGAGATGAGGGGATCTGATGATTGCGGGTTACAAGCACGTGAAGATCTGAGGCTCTCCCATCCTCTTAACAATGAACTGTGTTAACCACAGAACTCAGTCACATATTTCCACTCATCCAGGGGTTTATTTTCCTCTGAATGTTTTGTCTCTTACAACTTCAGCACTCAGCTGTTTTCTGACTTAGCCTGCAGGTGGGATAGATTGTGAATTTGTAGGCCTGGCTGAGTAAAGCTAACTCTGGAGGGGAAAAGGATCAAAGCAGAGTTTGTGATGTCCCTATCCCACCTGGAAACTTTCTGGTGCTTCTGTGTTAAGTGAAAAGATAAAAAGATTCTCAAGGACCCTGAGTACGTAGGGTGTTGAGTAAAGCTGGCCATGCTGGAAAATCATCAATCACTTTGAAAAGGCAAGGAAACCAAAGTTCATCACTTCTGTGTCACTTAATGGGGGAATGAATGTTTGTGACCTTAGTTGGCGTTCATGTTCTCAGTATCATTCTTCCAGATGGCCTTGACAAAAGAAATACCGATCTGGTAGTTGAAAATAAAAACGATGGATTACTTTGGCAAAGGTCCATTATTCTACTTCTTCTTACTGAGTTGCCAAGACAAGATTGGGTGTGTGTATTTTTTTCTCTCAAGTATTTGTCTAGAAACTATTACGTGGACCTTGAGGTAGTGGGGGTGCAAGACAAATCCATCTGATTAGAATAGACCCTTTTAGGGGCTGGGCACGGTGGCTCATGCCCGTGATCCCAGCACTCTGGGAGACTGAGGATGGTGGATTGCCTGAACTCACAAGTTGAAGACCAGCCTAAGCCAGAGTGAGACCTCGTCTCTAAAAATAGCCGGGCGTTCTGGCAGGTGCCTGTAGTCCCAGCTGCTTGGGGAGCTGAGACAAGAAAAATCACTTAAGCCTAAGAATTTGAGGTTGCTGTGATCTGTGATGCCACAGCACTCTGCTACGGGCGACAAAGTGAGACTCTGTCTTAAACATAAATAAAAATTAAAAAAGAATCGACCTTTTGGCTAGATTTTCTGGCTGCAGTTTTTCACTGTTGTGGTCCCTCTTACACATTGCTGCTACAATGAACACAAGCTTCTCTTTCTCCAGGGCATGTAGCTGTTTGCTCTGTGTTCAGATCCAAACCCTGTACTGTGGTCGTTCAGAATACGTAGGATTTGGTCCTCCCAGGTGTTATCTTTTTTGGTGTTTCCCAAAATGTGGCTGCAGACCACCGAGAGACACACAGGGCATTTTAAACACCTTGATCTCAGGCCGGCAGCAGCTCACACCTGTAATCCCAGAATTCTGCGAGACCAAGGTAGAAGGATCACTTGAGCTCAGGAGTTTGAGACCAGCCTAAGCGAGAGCAAGACCCAGTCTCTACTAAAAATAGAAATATTAGCTGGGTATTGTGGTGGGTGCCTGTAGTTCTAGCTACTTGGGAGACTGAAGCAGAAGGATCACTTGAACACAGGAGTCTGAGGTTGTTGTGAGCTAGGCTGATGCCACTCCATTCTAGCCTGAGTGACAGAGCAAGACTCTGTCTCAAAAAACCCCAACACCTTAACCCATATGGCAAGAAAATTATTTTCTTTTCAGTCGCCTTTCGATCCCCCTGATTAAACCAAGGAGAAAGATTTAGACTTAATTTGATGCTCGTTGTCTTCAATGCCAGTCTCACACTTGGTAATCGCTCTTTTTCACAAAGAGAGAGGGGATTTTAGTCTCCAAGTCCTCAAAGTAGTAGCTGATCAAAATTTAATAAATTACTCTGTTTCACTGTCTTTATTTTTTATCATTAACTTCTATTTGTGGTAAATGATTCTGGTTTTCCCCTAATGTTAGTGATATAAAGTTTCCTTAAAAAACAAATTTATTTTAGAAAAACAAAGAAAGAAAATGTGAGCTGAATCAAACAAAGAAAAAAACCCTAGCATTTACCAAGTGTTTTCCACGTGGCAGTCCCTGTTTCAAGCACTTTCCAATGACCCTACGAGGTAGGCAGGGTTATTACCACCATCGTATTTGAGGACACGGAGCACAGACCGTTAAGTAAATTGCTCAAGGTCATGTTGTGAGTGATGGAGCCAGTTTCAAACCCAGTCCATCTGACCCTTGAGCTCCTTCTCCCAACCCCACTGCCCTGGGCGTGGATAATGCAGAATGTGAAGGAATGATGAAGTCTGAGAAATACTTCATTCCACACTTCTTGACAGAGCTTCAATCTGATACTCTTAGGTCCCTGCACATACACTGTGTAGTCCCACTTTTCTGCCTTCATTCGCATTCAGTTTATACCACGTTGCTTGCCCTTGCCTGTATATCACCTTATCGTTCTTTTTACAAATACGTCAAATGTGACATTTACAATAAAAGTAAAGGTCTCCATAGAGCAAAACAGCCCTTTTACAATTTTGAACCTAGGCCAGGTGTGGTGGCTCACACCTATAATCTTAACACTCTGGAAAGCTGAGGTGGGTGGATTGCCTGAGCTCAGGAGTTCGAGACCAGCCCCAGCAAGAGCAAGACCCCATCTCTACTAAAAATAGAAAAATTAACCAACTATTGTGGTGGGCACCTGCAGTCCCAGTTACTCGGGAGGCTGAGGCAGGGGGATTGCTCAAGCCCAAGAGTTTGAGAGTTTCAGGTTGCTGTGAACTATGGCACCATGGCATTCAACCCAGGGCAACAGAATGAGACCCTGTCTCAAAAAAAAAAAAGAAAGAAAGAAAGAAAGAAAAAGAAAATTGAACCTATACTTTTTCTTCAATTTTTTTAAATGTCTATATCAAAAAGTCTTATTTCTTAGGCACTAGATTGGTGACACCTCAAAGTAGAAAGTGGTTCTGCCAATCCTTTTGTTTTCTTGTGGGTTTTCTTTTCTTTCTTTCTTTCTTTTTTTTCATTGCTGGACATTTTACTGTATGGCAGTGGCAAATTTTGGAACCACAACATGCCTAGGAAATGTTACAGAAAATAAGGATGTGGCTCAGCAGATCTCTCTAGAATCCACGGTCAGCCTCACTTCCAGCACTTGACTCATCTTCCAGGCTTTCTCTTCCTTCCCCCCACTGCTCACCGCCAAGCACTTCTGCCACTGCTGCCGACCCTGTCCCTGCCTTCCTGTGGCCAGAGGGCCTCCATTTCCTAACACATGACACCTAGACATCCTGAAGGTGGCTAAACTCTGTTTTCAAAATTTCTCAGCAGTTTGACACGATGAGTAGGAGAGGACGACCACAAATACCTCTCTTCAGTGGAGGGTGAGATAGGTCCTAATATTTACATATGTGTTCAGGATACTTTTGTCAAGCAAAGGAAGAGTAACACTTTTGGAAGGGAACAAAGATCATGACCTCTCCCTCAAGAAAGCTTTTCTAAAACTTGCTACATTTGAGGCTCCTTGACTTAAATCTCAGTCAGTCCGGTGCTTTGTGAGTTTGGGGAGTGGCAAGCTGAAATTTGGGGGCTATTTTCTCTACCTCTGTAGCTTTTTTTTTTTTTTAGTAAAATGTAGAGAAATTTTATTTAATAACAAAAAGAAACCTCAGAGCACTTCCAAAGAGAGTTGGAAGTGGGTCCCTCTCATGAATGAGAATAGATGAGAGAGACCTCTATAGCTATTTAAAACCTGCCGAGGCCCAGCATGGTGACTCACATTTGTAATCGTAGCACTTTAGGAGGCTGAGGCAAGAGGATTACGCGAGCTCAGGAATTCGAGACCAGCCTGACCAAGAGTAAGACCTGTCTTTGCTAAAAATAGAAAAATTAGCTGGGCGTTGTGGCAGGTGCCTGTAGTCCCAGCTACTAGGGAGGCTGAGGCAAGAGGATCACCTGAGCCCAAGAGTTTGAGGTTGCTGTGAGCTATGACGCCATAGCACTCTACCAAGGGTGACAAAGTGAGACTCTGTCTCAAAAAGTAATAAAATAAAATAGAATAAAGTAAAATAAAATTAAATAAAATAAAATGCTGCTGAGTCTAGTGGCAGAGCATCCCCACACTTTCCAACATTTCTGTCCCCTGGGGTGCCTCATACAACAAGCAGAAGCCGATAAGTGCAGTAAGAGTTGGGAGTTGATTGTGTCTTAAGGGTTCCCAGACAACAGAAGGTCAGAGGCCTCGCGCCTGCCCAGTGGCAGCTGCTCTGTCCATCTGCGTCCTGTCCTGGGGTGCTCCTGCTTCTTTTCCTCCTCCTTTCTCTCGGCTGCCCTCTGATATATGCAATGGATGTACCTCACAAGGTGACCCCAGCTAACCCCATCTCTGCCCTTCACTTCTGCCTGCTGGCTTTCTTTGGACTGTCCAGACATATTGCTCCTGATGCGTGTGTCCTGAGACTGCAGCACCACCTGCGCCCTTCTGCCTGGGTTGGGGATTCTTAAGCCGCAGGCAACTTAACCTTCCTCCCTTTTTGGAGGTCTCTGGAAAACAATTGTACAAACTCTCTGCCTTTGTGTTGTTTCCTTTAAAACCTTTTCTTTGGCTGGGTGAGGTGGCTCTAGCCTGTAATCCCAGCACTTAGGAGGCTGAGGCGGGTGCATTGCTTGAGCTCAGGAGTTCAAGACCAGCCTGAGCCAAAGTGAGACCCCATCTCTAAAAAAATAGCCGAGCGTTGTGGTGGGCACCTGTAGTCCCAGCTACTTGGGCGGCTGAGGCAAGAGAATCACTTAAGCCCAAGAGTTTGAGGTTGCTGTGAGCTGTGATGTTACAGCCCTCTACCAAGGGTGACAAAGTAAGACTTTGTCGCAAAAAATAAAATAAAATAAAACCCTTTCTTTCCCTTGTTCCAGGTGAGAAGCGCCACTGCTTTGATGTCAACTATAATTCCAGCTATATGTATGAGAAAGAGAGTGAGCTCATCCAGACCCGAATGATGGACCAAGCCATCAATAACGCCATCAGCTATCTTGGTGCTGAAGCCCTGCGTCCGTTAGTCCAGACCCCGCCTGCTCCCACCTCCGAGATGGTTCCAGTTATCAGCAGCATGTATCCCATAGCCCTCACCCGGGCTGAGATGCCGAATGGTGCCCCTCAGGAGATTGAAAAGAAGAGCATCCACCTTGCAGAGAAGAGTGTGCCTTCTGAAAGAGGCCTCTCCCCCAACAACAGCGGCCACGACTCCACGGACACTGACAGCAATCATGAAGAACGCCCGAATCACATCTATCAGCAGAATCCCTTGGCCCTTCCCCGCGCCCGCAACGGCATGCCACTTCTGAAGGAGGTCCCTCGTTCTTACGAACTCCTCAAGCCCCCACCCATCTGCCCAAGAGACTCCATCCGAGTGATCAACAAAGAGGGGGAGGTGATGGATGTGTATCGGTGTGACCACTGTCGCGTCCTCTTCCTGGATTATGTGATGTTCACTATTCACATGGGCTGCCACGGCTTTCGTGACCCTTTTGAGTGTAACATGTGTGGATATCGAAGCCATGATCGGTATGAGTTCTCATCTCACATAGCCAGAGGGGAGCACAGAGCCATGCTGAAGTGAATATCTCGTCCCAAAGATTGTCCCAGTGACCCCACCTCACAGATTGCTCTCAAAACATGCTCAGCTCCAAGCTCCTTCTCAAAGCATTTTTAGTATCCTAAGCATCGTGTTTACATGGGTAGCCAGAGAAACACTGTTTTCATTCAGAAATTATTTGTAGATCCACCAGGTTATTGCTTTTCAAGAACCTTTGTTTTCCCATCAAGGACTTAAATTTTGTGGAATTTAAAAGTCAAAGAAATATTTGGTTATTTTTCTGCATCAACAGAATAGGCATCCATTGAAGTTTGTTGCCAGTCAGAACAGCCCCCCAGCTGTGCTGCATGAGATGTTCTTTCTGAGACACATAAGCTGTACGTGAAGAAGCTTTTTGGTCATATGCCCAAATCCACAAAGAGGAAGAACTGACTAGCCCACCCTGCTGGGAAGCCTTGCCCCTCCCCAATTAACACAGGCAGAAGGGTTAGGATATCATCTCCCCAAACCTAATAGAGTCTAAGAGTAAGAAAAAGAACAGCCGTAAAATAAGTATCTGTTCCAAGTAACCAAAGATCCCTTTCTCCATCAGCTTCACTACCTGTCAGATAATAGTAATAGGAACAAGCCATCTGATGACAGTTCTGCTCCTACCCTCTGCCCTTCCATCTCCAGTGAAAAGCTGAGCTACTTTGAGCTGAACCATGTGTCTGCAGGAGAAATTCTCTATTGATGGTTTTCAACCTAAGCCATCACTGAACCCCCAAGAAGTTGTCCACTGTGCCATCCTTTCCTTTGGCTGAGCAGGGGTCTGAGGAGGGAAATGATTTGGCAGCACCAATCGAAAAAATAAACCTATAGCCACCTAAGGTGTTGGTCTCCTTCATGGAGCTTTGGTGGCACAGACCCTAAGCAAATATGCCAGTGATTTTTTTTTCCACAGAATTTTATCAAAGAATCTAAAAAGTACAGCTTAACCTCCCCTTCCCCACAGAGGAGGAGTCAAGGAGAGATGCTGTGTGTGGTGTTTAATCAGAGCCAAGCTTCAGGATGGGGTGAGAACGGGGGCACCTCCACTGACAGGTTCTCCTTGGTCAGGCTCCCATTTAAACAGAGCTCCTATTTTCCACAAAAATTCCTGAAAGTCTGATAATCTAGACTCTGCAGATGTATCAGTCACCTTTGTCACTAATCATGGGGACTTACAATCCAGGAGGAATGCTGCGATTGTTGTAAAGTGAACACTGGAATAGGGGTGACAAAATCTGTTGGCTAATTCCGTATTTGCCACTAATGAGCTGTGTGACTTTGAGCAAATTGTTTTAACTCTGAAAGCTCAGTTTCCTCCTCTATAAACTAAGAATTGGGTTTAAGACCTTCTCTGAGGTCCTTTCTAGCCTAAAATTTTCATGTGACTATGCAGTCACCACAAGTTTTTTTTTTTTTTTTTTTGAGACAGAGCCTCAAGCTGTTCCCCCTGGGTAGAGTGCTGTGGCATCACAGCTCACAACAACCTCCAATTCCTGGGCTCAAGTGAGTCTCCTGCCTCAGCCTCCCAAGTAGCTGGGACTACAGGTGCCCACCACAACGTTCGGTTATTTTTTGGTTGCAGCCATCATTGTTGTTTGGCGGGCCCAGGCTGGATTCGAACCCACCACCTTAGGTGTATGTGGCTGGTGCCTTAGCCACTTGAGCCACAGGTGCCAAGCCACACATGCTGTTTTTTAAACCTTTTGATGTATGGATAGTAAACAGAGGAGCATCCATATAAGAATAGGGTGTTAAGTTTTTCCTTTAACCACTGAGTTGTGAATGTAAAAGAAGATGGTGGGGGGCGGCTCCTGTGGCTCAAAGGAGTAGGGCACTGGCACCATATGCTGGAAGTGGCAAGTTCAAACCTAGCCCCGGGCCAAAAACAAAAAAAAAAAAAAAAGATGATGGAGAGGAACAAAAAACAGGAAGGTATTCTGGTCTTGCTCCAAAGTGTACACACAAATTGGCACCTGAAACCAAAGCTCTTTCTTGTTTTTTTTTTTTTTCTTTTTAAGAACTTGTGTTAGGGAAAATAAATTCTGCTTCCATGGACAACTCCGTGAGCCTATTTACAAATTAAGAGTCAGCTTTGTGAACATCTCTACCAGAGCCAAGAATCCCGAATTCCTAGTAGATTAGTGTTTTCTTTCTAAAGGGTTTATGCATTCGGCTCAAACGCCACTTGTCTGTGTGCTGCCAGTAATTAAAACGTTCCACCTCAGACTGCACAAATGGCTTATCCTTGGTAGCATGGCGTCTGTCTCAGGAAAAAAAAAAAAAAAAAAGGTTTTATGAAATTCCGTGGCAATGGTCCCAACATGTTTGAGATCTCGACTAAAGGACTAGATGTATTTTGGTGCGTAATCTTCAGTATATCACTGTATTTCTGTAATACTAGACTCTAAGTTATGCCAGATTGCTTATACCCATTGTGAAAGAGGAGCTGCTCATTATACTCTTGAAATATCACACATCCTGTTGACTCTTTGAGGGACAAGAGAAAGATTTTGGAAGTAGGGATTAGTAAGAGAGAAAAGTAGGGAAAGAGAGCATTTCTACTGGATTAGTGTTAAAGTCTGAGCTGAACAGACCAACTGTTGCATCTCAAAATGGTGCAACTGAGGTCCATCCCACCAACAAAGAATTATAAGAATGTATAGATTCTTAAGTCTTGAAATTGAACCAGGAACAAATGGTTGCCACCACACAGGTAAACACTTCCTTCTGTACATACTCCTTATGCTCAAATTAATGATCCCTCCCCCACTTGCTGGGAACGGGGGAATGAAGAGAGAGAATGCCTAATAAGAAGGCTGAGTCAGATTTGCACCTGCCACTGCTGGGCCGTGAAGTCCTATAGCAGCTTCGGGCAGTACCTTCACATTCTCATGCAGACCGCCTCTGAACATGACCTCTGTCGGTCTCTCGCTTTCACTTCCCACCCACTCCCTGATGAGGCAGGCCTTGCACCTCACACCCAGCAGGCCACAACCTGAGGAGCAACCAAACCCAGGAAAATTCCCTTGCAGCCAAGGTAACAGAATGGGAGTGAGGGAGGAAAAGAAATCGTTTTTTGTTTGTTTTGTTTGTTTACAGATAAGATTTCCCTGTGCTGCCCAGGCTGGCCTGCAACTCCTGGGCTCAAGCAATCCTCCTACCTCAGCTTACCAAGTAGCTGAGTTTATAGGCGTGTGCCACTGAGCCAGCCCTCCAATCAGGATTTCCTATCAGGATTTGAAGCAACACAAATCTTAGTTCCTCCTGAGAGAAAAGTAAAGGAAAATGTCTTTGCCACTATTCTACTCCATCACCACCAGAAAAAAAAAATATATATATCAATAAACCCACCAGTCTTTAGATTCCTAAAGTCATCCTCCCAAAAAGACTTGGCACAGAGAAGCCATCTAATTTTATGCTTTGTTAGCTATTCTGAGATGTTCCTAACACAGCTTCTGACTTTTTCAGTGATAATACTTATCACATTTGGGGGGGCTGTTTTTTATTTTTGTGACAGGGTCTCACTCTGTCGGCTGGGCTAGAGTGCAGTGGCATCATCATAGCTCGCTGCAACCCCAATTTCCTGGGCTCACCCAATCCTCCTACCTTGGCTTCCCAAAGTACTAGCATTACAGGCAGGAGCCAGAGCTCAGCCAAACCGTATTGCCTTTTAAATGCAGCACTTAACATGTTGGTAGGCCCACACTTAACAGTGGCCCAGATATAAAATGGCCTTGTATTTATTTGGCAAAGAAAAATATTTAAAAAAACACAATTTTACTCAAACCCTGTGTCATTATCAAAGCTCACAAAGTTTTCCCAAGTAGGATCTGCACCACTATTATTCTCCTCCGCTTCCTACCCCACCCCCACTACTGAATGTGAGGTTTAGAAAGTTTTAGGGGAAAAAGCAGTACCTTATGTTATATATCCCATCACAGGTGGTAAGACCACAATGGAAATGTTTCTTTAAAGCTGTAACTAAAGTATACCCCACCGAGAAGAGGTATGTTGGTCTCTAATGGAGATTTGGAAACTCTGGGAAACTCAAGATTTATGAAAGAGCTTGGACATCTTTGGGGACTCCAAAAACTCAGAGTTAGGACTTGTGAGCTCAAGAAGAGAAAAGGGGAGTGATGAAATTTTTATTCCAAAAAATAGCATCAGGAACAGATGAAAAGAAGCAGTATATAGTAATATTTCTTACCTTTTAGAGAATCAGAGGATATTTTTGTGTTCACACGGGAAGTATAGTTCAGGAAAGCTCTATAGATAGAGGTCAGACAAGTAGAATAATTCAGGATTTAAGTGCCTATATAGAGGACAATTTTGACCTGTAACCAAAGACTAGTTTTAGGTCACCCTAGGAAAAGGACTCTGTTCTGTAAGGCTGCAAGATTGAATGCTTCTGCGAATTATCAGTGATCCCAGGATTGGGGACTGCTGACTCAAGAACGTGGACTCAAAAGACCCTACAAGAGAGGTGTGGGCTTTAAAGCTCATCAAGTAACTCGAGACTGTACCTTTAATTTACTCAAGCTGTATATAGCCTGTACCCTGCCATGCACTCATGATAATTAACAGGTTTTTGCACTTTGAATAAGTTGGATACAAGTTTCCTTATAATACTGTATTATAAGAGTGGACTGTCTTATGCATTGATACTGGTTGGGTTGCTATTTGAAACTGAAACATTAATGGTTTGATTAAAAATGTAAGGATGTAACAATATCTGCCTTCTAAGGGTGTTGTGAGGTTTTATGTAATTTTGTCTATGGGGTAATGTTACTTTGGGGCAGGGTGTGGATTATGTTGGATGATTGCAAATTTCCCACTGTGTGTCCTGGATTTAAAAGCGTGAAGAATATTCCAAGACCATACTAGGACCACAGTGTTAGTAATTCCTTTACAAAAGGAGGCAACTGATCTCTTACAGGTTCCTTCATGTTGTCTTAATGCTTATGGGTAGAGAATCTGCTGAACTTTGGAACCAATGTGAGTTAACCACGTGCTACAGACACTTCACAGTGTTGCCCCCAGGGAAGTAGAAAAGCTTTGCGCTCTGGCTACTTCTTTGGCTATCTAAGCCCTCAACCATTAATTCCCCCCAAGAACTTGAGTTTCCCCAGATGGTTCTCACTGTTCATCTATCTCTCCACGGCC